CACCCCTCCTCTCCCCTCCCCCGCCCCGCACCTGTTCCCTCTCGTCCCCGCGCCGCGCCACTTGCCGCCGCCACCGCCGCCGCCGCTTTGCGAGGGCGCTGAAAATTTCAAACGGCCCTATAGCTCCCCGCCGAGGTATTGTTTAGCTCTGGCCGTTGATTCGGGAACTAGCAAGAGTGAGGGATGGACGGGCCATCGGCGTGTGCCGTCTCCTGCCGCACAGCTACGCGTTGTTCAGGACTGAAGCCCTCGTGTGCAAAAGAAGAAATATCCTGAGGATTTTCATGGGGGATTTACTGAAAACTTTACCTACGCCATTTTTGTAAGCGCACTTTCTTCTATTTGAACAAAATTTTAAAGAAAAAAATTTGAGCCACAAATGTAGAGAAAATTTCGAAAATGTCCTCAGGGCAAGTACGCCCCAAAATTCAAATGTGAGTTTGAAATTCTCAAGGCGTCGAGTGCGGCTAGATCTATTAATGAATATGGATTTCGGAAAAAATCTAAAATATATAAAAGCTAGAGTTGTCCACAGACGAACTGAGAAGTCGATGAACGCACAGATGTTTTGAAAAACACCGTTTTGGAATCAGAGGCCACCAAGACGTGCATTTTTGATCAATCGCGAGATCGATGTTTTGTTCGAAAATAAATAGGTAAGATCTAAGAAGGGCTTGAAAAATCGTGTGTTGCATCCTAGTAATCCTTAATCGTATGGATTATAATATAATGAGAAACGTCTCAAATTATACACAATGCGAAAATAAATGCATTAAAATATCACTTAAATACACTAGGAAATGATTCAGGAAAGAACAGATCAACAAGTATATTTTCACAAGCAGAATTACTTGTAGTGGCTAAAATCCTTCAAAGAAGGCCGATTGTTAGTTGCTATTTCATCCTCCTCCAATCGCGGCGTTTGTGCGAATCCAGCGAACTCTCGCAAGGTCCAGCAGCCCCCACCCATCTCAGATGGCAGCGCCCAGTGGAGCCGTCGTGCTCGAAGCATTCGCCAGCGGAAAATCTTATGGTCTTCTGTTAATGGCAACAAATACAAATTGAAATAACTAAAAACAATTTTACTTGCTTCTTATCAATGCTTTTATTCCAATATTCTTTAATAAGGTTACATACATACGTTAATCACGTTATAATCAATATACGTTAATAAACAATAAAGTAAGAAAGATAGTAAATAAAGTAGTAATAGCAAAAACTCAGGTTCGAACCCCAACAAAGCTGGGGTGTTATCCGGCTATGTCCTATGCAGGGCAACCATGAGGTCCACTACACCTCCTTTCAAAATGGGTACCAATATTTAATGGCTTTATTAACAGTGCATTTGGGGGGAAATATGCACATGAAGTATCACACTTGCCACGTCATCATCTCCAATTTTTTTTAAAACCACATTAGGTCGTCTAAAACGCGCTAATTTACAGAAGGCCCTAGAAGTAATAATAGTAATAATAATAATAATAATAATAATAATAATAATAATAATAATAATAATAATGTCTTTATTAATGGCGAAGCTCAGAGCATAGGGCCTACTCTTCCTCCTAACCACTTGTGGCACGGTGGCACTTTTCCCGCAGAAGTGGGGAAACAAATTTCAAAAGACTAATATAGAAAGGAATAAACCTGCTGTGACCCTACTGAAGGAAGAACCTAACCTCCTGTAACCATAAGCAGATCGTTACTATAGTACGTCATTGTACA